CGCGTTATCAATGTATACAAATTATGCATCAGAAGCAGGTTTTGATGTCAGGCTTGGAACAATTAGAACAACCAAATTTGACATTTATCACACAATGACATTTTCTATGCAATCGGGAAGGTAAACCAAGAACCTCTAAATTGGATACTCTAGGCCCTCAACATAATAAGTTTCAATGAAGGAAAGACTCATTTAGGTGCGAATGCAAAGCAAAAAAAAATAGTCTACTACATGGTACTAATAAATATATTGTTGATGATTTTGTTGAACAACATAATCATAAGTTGTTTGGTAAGGACAACATGTTTTTGTCTCGTACAAAGAGGAAACTTGATTATTCCAGGAGATGTTTATTCATAACTTGTCAAAGCAAAATATTGGTGCCACAAGAGCACATAGATTATATACCAGACTTTAGGGTGGGTCTAACATTCGAGGTGGTTTGGTTGCTGATTTCAAGAACAGTACGAGAAATCTCAATTCTTACATAGGTTCTAGGGATACAAAATTCCTTGTTGTGAAGATGTTATAAAGGAAAAAAATATATATATCCCAACTTTTTCATTCAAGTTTAAAGTCGTGCAGAAAAAGTAGAATGTGCTTTTTTGGTCTGACGAAATTGCAAAGTATAACTACAATACTTTTGGATACGATGTATCCCTTGATGCCACCTTCAGCATGAATAAGTATTTTTTAAATATTAATCTTATCACAATTTTTTTATTTCTAATAAGGGTAACTAATTTTAATATTTAAAAACAAATATGATATGGTTTTCGTACCGTTCACTGGGATAGATAACCATAAGAAATGCGTAACTTTTGGTGCTGGACTTTTGAGTAGAGAAGATGTTACTTCTTATTCTTGGTTGCTTAGAGCATTCTTGAAAGCATTCAAAAAACAACCTACGCTTGTTCTTACGGATCAAGATCCAACTTTAAACAAAGATGTAAATGAAGTTTTTCCAGTATTATCACATATGTTTTGTATGCGGCATATTAAAAATAAATTGCCAAACAAGGTGAACATTTTTTTTTACCAAAATACTGTTAATAGGTGTATTTTCTTAATACATTTCTTTCTATCAGAATATAATTCTGAAAAAATAATAGATATACCAGGATTGAAACAGAATATCTATATTGTAATTCTGTTAGATTCATTTAACATAATTCTATCAGAATACATGATTTTGATATTCATATCCTTTATACAATGTACACCAACATTTTATATTTTACTAAAAATTGCTTTTATGTATTTTCATTCAGATAACATCCCAACTAGCCACAAATTCAATGTTTCGGAAGCGTTTTCACTCTATAATTTGGAATTCTAAGCTGAAACCACATGATTTTGATAACGCATGACAATGTTGTTTAGATGACTTTAACATTTCAAATAAAAAGTGGATGAAAGAGATGTATGGGTTGCGGAGACGTTGGATACTTGCATTTTCAAGGACATACCAATGTCTGGTCTTATGAGAACTACATCATTGTCTGAAGGCTAAAATTGGTCGTTTCAGAACAACACCCTTATCGGTTCTTATTTTTTAATGTTTATGATGACATTTTAGGATGTTATGGAACGTCAAAGATGTAATCAATTAGTCAATGACTTTAACACTACTACAAAAGCTCCTAGATTCATTACATCTAGTCTAGTCGAACCACATGCTTCAAAGGACTACACTCGTAAACAATTTTATCAGGTTCAGAAAGAGATTTCAGATTCTGATAATACTTGTTTCCAAATGAGTGTTACTTCTTGTAATGGTGTTGACATTATTATTGTATTGGAGAAGGAAAACAACATAAGCACAATGCGACCATCAAGTCTTGTTGGTGATGACAATCTTGAGAAATACCATTACGATTGTCTTATAAAGGATACCCAATACACGACATGTTATTACTTCATTATATAATCATTTCTTTTTATACACATAAAAAGACTTTATAACAAATACTCATATACCATCATACATATTCCGGGTTACCCACGCAAAAACAGATAATTTATACAAGTGTACATGTATGCATTTTGAACATGTCGGTCTTTTGTGCAGGCAGATATTATGTGTGTTTAAGTTTTACAGTATTGAACAGATTCCTAAAAATACATAATGAGATGTTGGTGTTGGGATGTTATTCCTACATAATTGCGTAACCGGCGTTTCTCTAATTCTTTGGTTAACTCAAATTATGACATGACTGCTACTAATTTTTTTTTAAATGTTGTCCGTTGTGTTTCGTTTTTTAGCCATGATGCAGCAAAGTTAAAGTCATACCTTCAAGAGTTGAATAGGTTGGAAAAAAATTTTGTTGATGATTGTCCAGCCCCCAAGATGCCATCAAGAGAATCATTCTACAACCAGATTATAGGTGTAGAATTAACTAATGATGTTCCTAACATTGAGAATCCATCGGATATTTATAATAAGAGAACTGACAGTCGTGGTAAGAGGTTAAAATCAAAAAAAGAAATGTTGGAAAAAGTAAGTTTGAAGCCTAAGTGAAAGTGTGATTCATGTAAACAGATGGCAAACCATGATAAACGAAATTGTCCTCTTAAAAAATCCTAAGTAGTCTGTTGTATTTATCGGTTTTTTTGAAGTTTTTATTACAATCAGATGATTGTTTCACATTTAGTTGTGACATTGATTTTAATTTTGCGTGTCTTTAATATAATTATTATATATGGTTATGCACTATTGGACATTTTTCTTATCAATCTTTATCCATGCATATTACACCAACTTTACGATCTCGTATAATCATTAATTTCCATAAGAATTTTATATGACCAACAACATATTATTTCCCAAACATTTTTTCTCATCAACACCCTAACAAATTCCAATAGAATTTAACTTTAATCCATTTTTAAATATTCTTTAAGAAGAATGACATATTAGATACTAACAATTCATAAACAAAATTTCAATTTTTTTGAAATAATATTCATTCTTTCAGAACATGGTAATATCATTTTGTTACTTTATACTTTTAAGACCTTTTAAAAACACTACTACAAAACACACAAACATACTTTTAATATATTTTCATTAATATATTTTGAAATTATAGACTTTGATTAAACATGAAAGAACATAACATTTTAACATTCCAACATAATTTAACATTATTCTAATTACTGTCATTCTTTGAGAATTTGGTCCACTCAGGTTTTTATCAATTGTTAATGACAATTCTGGTGTATTATAAGTATTTTCAATTTTCCACAACAATTTCATATCATAATTGAATACTTGAAAACCATAACTTACCTATACAATAATAACCATCTTTTAACTTTATTCTTATTATTTTAATACTTTAAAAACATGAACTTCAACCATTTTTAAATTCAACACATTACTTACTTCCACATTTTTCATATCCGTAAAAACATTCCATCATCATTCATATAAGTTTTCCCAAACAAAGACAACTAGAATAAAATAAAACATCCTAACATAAGTCGTCTAACAGTTTCCCAAACATAGATACCTAGACCAAAATAAAACATGTAGCCATAAGTCTTTCAACACAAACTAGTCTACCATTATTAAGTAATCAAAACAAAATGGCCATCTTAAAAACGACACCGTCCACGTCTCTACTTCTCCTTAAATTCTTTCACTTCATTCAACAACACCATTTTCTCCAATGGATCCAGCCTGTCATATGCTTCTGCATCTTTCTCCAACATATTTTTATACTTTTCGTGGTCGTATTTCATAAGCTTTGCCATTTATTTGATTCTTAAATTTTTTAAAGCAATTACATCACTTTGCTTTTTACCTGTAATGCTACAATCCCAACACCCTTCACTTTCTCCCCATATACGACTCCATATTCCTCATAAGATACACTCCACAATTTGATCCTTATTTTTCTACTTTCCGTGTAAATTTCATCACATGAGGTTTAATTTTGTTGAGAGTTGTTGATTTTTGGTAATTCTTTGTTTTTAAGTAGTTTCCAACCAATTTTCTCTGTGATACAATACAATCTATTTATTAAAATTCATTTTTAAGAATACAAATTTCTTGTCATATATAATTTCTAAGCAGTAATTATTAATCTTACCATAAGAAATGGTTTCCTTCCATATATATCTTCAACAGTGCATGTTCGATTGACATGGTCTATAATGCAGTAGGTGGGTACCCTTAGATCAAAGCATATTAAATAATATTGACCCTTCTCAAGAACAGGAAAGAAAATTTGGTATACAACAGAATTTATAACAATAAGATATTATTGTATAATAAATATTATAATATAGAACATAATTCTTAAGCAAATTGCCAGTCCAACATCCTTGAGACTTTTCTTAATTTGTAAACTTCTAATGTGGAGTTTCAGCATCAAATCAAATAATGATTGGCTTCTAATGTGGAGTTTCAGCATCAAATCAAATAATGATTGGCTTCTAATGTGGAATTTCAATAAAACAAATATTATTATTTACTAATAAACTTAAATTGAATACTTACTAAAATGTCTGTATAAAAGAAAACTCTACCAACTAATCCTTCATCCCTTAGTTCCTCCATTCCGTTGAGTAATGATGTCCAACAGTCAATGATTATAACATGTATAAATGTGTTGCATTTTAAAATGATAGGCAAATCCTTGATGCAATACATGACCGCTCCCAATGTTCCATATTTCTTCCCTGCTCAACAATTTTACTTAAATCAATTATACATGTATGTTTTAAAAAAGCAAACCACAAATATATATTATCTCAATTACCCGTAATCTCTTTTTGATGCAAAAACTGAATTGTATAATGTTATCTCATCCTTCTTCACCTTGTCACTCATTTTAACAATCCTTTCAACAAATGGTGATTTTCCATATACCGGTAACTTTTGTCCTCTTCTACCTCTTTTTCCATTGTCATCATCTTCCACACCTACTTCAGCTGTTTCCAAGATTTATTTTCCTTTTTTTATTTTCCTTCCTATAATTGTTCAACACAGCCTAATCTGCCATTTTAGTTGTTGTTGCCAACAATTCAGGATACTCCAAGAATTGTGAAACATGTTGATGGTTTGTACTATCCACCTTTTCCACAGTAGGCATACTGAAATCTCCACCATCATCCTTTTTATCCCCATAAACTATTAATCCTATAACCGGAGAGATTCCACATTCATTACTACTATCGGCATCTCCTTTGTTACTATCCACATCAAAACCATGCTCTTTCTCTTTCATTCCTTCATTTTCTGCATTCTTTACTTTGTTGAACAATTCTTTGTTTTTTTCGTACCACGCCTTCAACATCAAACTATCTGGGAATTTTTCCACTCCATTTCTCAAAGCCATTTCAATATTCTTCTTTTCAGACAAGTTTATTCCATAGCTATGCTCAATAACAGCCACATAAGCCAGAAAATTGTGTACAAAGTTATAAGTAGTTAAATTCAGATAGAATTAATATTCTACATAATAATTGTTTCACTTATTTTAAGCTTTTAGCTAAATAGTTCAACTTATGAGTACTAAAATTCTAATAGAATGTACCACTATTTTCATTTAAACTTTATGTCTTACATCCTCATCCCAATAGTCTTTCTTAAGTACATCCAACAATTTAGCTTCATCCATCATTTCATCATCAACATCAACATTTTTAAAGTTTTCCTGTAGTTTCCTTCCAAACCCTCCAACACAAATCTCCAACTTCTCAATTTTTCCAAGAACATCACTCGTAACATGTTTAACAAACGGTAACCTTTTCATTATCTTGACGCCTGAGAACTTCGTGTTATACACATACAACAACTAAATAAAAAAATTACACTTATTAATTCAATATACGTATTTCAATATAATTTAAAGTATAAATCAACTCAAGACAAGAAGATTACTATCAACACGAGTATAGGTCCGCTATAATAGCATGTCTTATCATCCCTTTTTCACAGCTGTTTTGTGCTAACCAAACAATCAAGAATATACTTACACCAATCAATCTTCGAGAAGTCTTTTACCAACATCAACTTTAACAACATTTATATGATTTGTACCACTCAAAGTTGATTCCACAAATGTGTTAATGAAAAGGGTAAGGAAATTCGCCTAAACATAAGATTGTCTTGCTTTGTATTTTTGATCATTTTCAGGCATTCTTCACCATTAAACCCTTTTTTCTCATATTGATTTTTCCATTCTTGAAGAATTACATTATCTTTCTCACAACTATCCATGTTCAAGAAGTCTTCCCCATCGTTTGCTAACCCCAACATGTCATGCACTGTCTCTTTTGTAATTGTAATCACATTATTCTCTAGAAGTAGACGGTTACTTTGTGGGTCATAGTGATCTAAGAGATAGTAGTTAAGTAACCCTGGAGTAGTGTCCATGTGAATATTCAGAAGTTAATCAAAACCCACAGACACAATTCCATTTTTCTATGCAGGGGACATTATTTTCATAGCTGCACTAACCATTCCAGGAGTCATCCTAGTTGCAAGTCTTCTTAAACCTTCTGGATGCTCCTTACTTAGTTTTCTAACCTTATCCTCCATATTTTTGATATTCACATTCTCATGTTCTATTTTTCCCTTCTTTCTCTTGGGATATTTCTTTGAATGTGGTTCATTGGCTACCTTCTTTTTGTTACCATCATCTTCCATATCTTCCACATCCATACCAATGTCTACCTTTTCATTTTTTCTCTTTGACCCACTCATACTCTCTACAAGTAATTCATTCAAACTTCTTGGTTTTTTTCTAGTAGCCTTGCTTCTACTGAATTCTTATTATCCTTATTAGGTGTTGTTATGGCATAATCCTTCCTTTTCACCCTTCTTACACTTGTACTATCTGTACGTATTGTCTCCTGTTTATCTTTGTTATCAATGGTTGTATCACATAAACATAATTAGTCATGCTCTAATCATTGGCACTACACAAACAATAACCTATTAACACTCATTTAGAAATTTAATAAGTTTTTTATAAATAAGTATGTTATAATATTTAATTTTATACCAATTATATCACACTTATATTGTATATAATTGCATGTTCTAATAGAACTAGTATACAACTTTTAATTTTACACTAGTTATATCAGAATTATATATTATAAAACAGTATTAAAAAATTTAATACTACCATTTACATTGATTATTAATGATTACCATTTACACTTAATTTTACACTAGTTATATCAGAATTATATATTATAATCCTATATTATACAATTAAAAGTTTTATTGGAGCACATAAGAAAATAAACCGAAGTAAAAAATTACCTGAATTTCCAGATTCTACATTCTTCTTTCCATGTTCTGATCTTGAATATTTTTTCATGTTTTCCTATGTTTTACTTGATCCAATGATATTTATATGAATCGGTTTACATTCTACATCAACTACTTAACAAAGTAAGAAGACATATGGTGAGAAGATGTATTATTTTAGAATAATAAATTTTACATTAATTACTAAATAACACTTTTTATTACTATTATAAAATATTCTAATTTTTTTTATTATTTTTCATAAACTAAAAAATAAAAACTACCTACAGGTGGAGAAATGATATTGTCTTTCACAAGTGTTGATCTGGTAGAATACTTCCTTTTCACATATTTTTGACTTGTAGTATCATCATTAATTGGCTCCTCTGCAGCTTCTGTAACAACTAATGATTCAAATTATTACAGTTCATTAGTAACATTTTCCAAAATAACCAACCATACTTCAATCTCTTGAACCGCATTTTATACTTCTTTATGTTGTTATCAAAAAAATTTCAATACATGGTCATACACAGAATTATTATAGAAACCCCCACATACTAATTACCAAAAAGGGGAAACCCCTAAAACACAGTAATAAAACATAAAAAAAAACTAACTCAGTTATACTATAAAAATACAAAACAAATCAAATCGTTCTATCATAATTGAAAACATAATAAAAGAATGCAAAATTTTGTGTATGGCCATGTAAAGAATTATGTATGATCTCCTATTCTACCAGAATTGAAAATCAAATCATTCTATCAGAATCGAAAACATAATAAAACAAACTTACTTTATATTCTTGAAAAACACATAACAGAACAACAATAACATCCCCTATTATTAAAGAAACAACATTAATATACCCTAATATTCAAACATTCTCACATATTTTCATTTTCGTATTTGAGAAAACCCTAATTAAAAAAATATGCCTTTTCTGCACTGTTTTGGTCTACTATACTTAATACAACTTCAAAAACACATGCAAATATTACATTGTTCAAACATTCAAACATAATGTTATGGATTCAACCAAAAATATTCAAAAAAAAAAAAAAAAACATAAAAATACCTATAGGATGAGAAACAAAATCATCATCATCTTCATCTAGATTCAACGCTGTTTCTTTTGTGTTCTTTAATTTCGATTTGAAAGAAGTCAAACTTGTACTCCTCATTATACTCCACTCTTTCTTCTTCGAACGATCACAATGCAACTTCTGAAAACAAATATTCGAGAATCGATGAGTATATACAAAAATGACAACAAAATCTACTGATTTTTAGTTGATTCTAGTAATTGTCCTTTGATTTTGTGTTCCTATACAAAGGGATTCAAATACGGGGTTATGATATGTTATAGGGATTATGCGGGCAGTTGTGATCAATCGAGTCTGTTTCCTATTTTAATGGAGACGAGAAATGTACAGAAATACCCTTATTCATCCATTTTCATTAAACATGACACATTTTTTATTTTCTTTATATCAATTTAAATTTAATCATTTTGTATTAAAAATTAAAATTTTGATTGGCCCACATTTAGCTATGCACCCACACAATAATTACTTTGAATAGAATAAGCTAAACCTATATATATATATATATATATATATATATATATATATATATATATATATATATATATATATATATATATATATATGGTTATTGTAACAGGATATCTAGGCAACTTAACAATTAAGTACAATGGATATCCTAAATCTTTTCTAGCATAACTCCTAGGTACTTAAAGTTTCTTTGGGATTTGGGCATTATAAAATCTAGGTATTACCTACACCCACATTATTGGGCATCATATCTTTTAGACACATATCATAACTTAAATCAAGGCATAATATCTACATTTATACTATGCTAAGGTATTTTGCTTATAATAAAATGCTTAATATTTATAAGATAAATATTTTTTTTTAAATAATTTGGTAAGCATGTATCCCCCCCCCCCTAAAAAAAACATTTTAAAATAGTAAAATACGTATCAAGGAGCGCCCGAACTGTTGCAACAGGAGTTTCTTGCCATCGAGAGGGTATTGACATATAAAGAGAGAGTTTAGAGGTTGGATTGAGAAGAAAAACCAGGATGCAAGCACCCCTTATTTATTGTGATGATGCACATCGGGCACTCTCCTATGCGGCGTGACCCATCAAAATGTTGCTACGTGTCACCGTTCTGGATGTCAGATGTGTGTGAGGGGCATGACACATATATTGATGCACACCCTTTAATTCTTTTTAAAATTTCATATTTTCTTCATATGAACTCTGTTTCTTACATTATTTATATATTTGTGTAGCTCTTTCCTAGGACTTCAACGTTCCTTTACGTTGCATCTTCTAATTTTAACATTTATTTTTAACCCACACTTTTATATTTTATAAAAAACGTATCTCCTTCATATGACTTCCATTTTTTCTATTCTTTCTTCTTAAGTTCTTATCTCATGCTTTACTACAAATTTTCTTTTTGTAGTGTTAGCTGAAACTCAACCGTTCTCTTTTTGCTCCTTTTGAAGTCAATAGTGTTATAAATGTGGTTGGTGTAACACCCGTAGATCCGGGCTGGTCAATTTAGAGACGATAGGCGTCAAAAATGGATTTTTGATCAAAGATTATTTAGAATTAATAATCTTAACTAAGTTATAGTATATGTTACAAGGTTTCCGTGCATATAAACAACGCTGAAATCCGAGTTATAACGAAGAAGTTATGATCTATCGAAGTTTCGCGACAGAACCGGCACGATGCAGAATGACGTAAAAAGTGAATTTAAGTTAGACTGATATTTAGCCTTAGCAATCTAAACGAAAGTCGTAGAGTTAGTTAAAACATGAGCGTGTATAAAAAGAACGTCCAAATCTGACTTCGTATGAGGATGTTATGATTTTGTTGTTATGTGTGTGAATGTATATTCACTTTCTTCTATCTCATAGATCTGATTTATTCTCTATGAAATACGTGTTATGTGGGTATGCCTCATCTGTTATGTGGAATAGGTATTAAATGAGAATGCTATACAGGTTTTAAATTATGTATAAAAATATATATTTTTATCTACTAATATGTTGGGTAGAACATGGGTAGATAGTTGATGTGTGATAAACAGATGAGAGGCCCCGATGTTGTTGTTGTTGGTCTAGTTATTCAGCGAAGTATGGATTAGACCAAGAGGTTAGTTTTAGATCTGAGAGTATGGATCAGGTAAAGAGATAAAACTTGTTATTAGTCCAGGAGTATGGATTAAGACTAAGTTAATTGTCCCTAGTCCGGGAGTATGGATTGGGCATAGTTATTGATCCGGGAGTATGGATCAGATCAGGATTAGGGTATAGTTAATTGTCCTTATTCCGGGAGTATGGATCAGATTAGGAGGTTAGTTTTAGATCCGTGAGTATGGATCAGGTAGTTTTAGATCCGTGAGTATGGATCAGGTGAAGAAGGTTAGTTTTAGATCCGTGAGTACGGATCGGTGAAGAGGATAGTTTTAGATCCGTGAGTAGGGATCAGGTAAAGAGGAAAATTTTAGATACGAGAGTTTAGATCGTGTCGTTGTGAGGATCGATGGGGTGGGATAAGAGTTGCCTTTATAGGGTGAAATTGCACAAGTTTGAATGTTCTATATTTATAAATATATGATATAACATTGTGGGATGAAAACCCTATATGCTCACCAGGCTCCCAAGCCTGACCCACTCAGTTTTCTTTGTATCATAGGTATCGATACGAAGACATATTTCACAAAGAGATTTAAGGGAGATATAAATGATTAGTGTAATTGAATGTAAGTTCTATTTATGCTTATATGTCTGTATCGGAACATGACATCCCGAGGTTTTATTATTAAATGAATATACATTCTCTTTGAGAAATGTTTTGATAAGTTATTATCATATCTTGTTTCGGGAACAAATTCCGCAACCGTTTTCTTTAAAAGATTACCCTGATTTTATAAAAACAAAACATAAACAAATCGGTCTTTTCTGGCCGTGAAAACCGGGATGTCACAGTTGGTATCATAGCATTAGTTTAAGCAAACTAGGAATTTGTAGGAAATTTCTAGACTTAAACTTAGAATGCTAAGTAATGATTGTGAGCAGTGTGTCTAAAATATATTAGGTAGTACACCTAAATTGACACAATCACTAGTTTATTTTAGGAATGATGCCTAAAATGCTTTTATGTGCTAAATGTTTTGTGTGATAGCTATATTGGTGCTATTATTTGTTCGGATCTATGGTCTGTTGCTGACCGGATCTGGAAACCTTATGTGTTTAGGATTCTAAGCGTATGTCTACGATATTAGAACTAGCATGTAAACGTTTCGGAGTGATAAGGATGATTTGAATATTTATCGTGAATAAGGATCTAATTTCACCTTATTCGGTGTATAGATCAAAAATGGTGAGAACAAGAAG